AGAAGGTACTCAAATTATGATAACAACCAGTCAATTAAGCAATTATCACTTTTTGATCCCATTATGCCCACAAAATATGGCCTCACTTTCCATAATGGTGAAGGTGGTCCTATGGAAAACAAGCATATAGCACCATCTATGACACTGGTCCTTGCCTTTATATATGACCAATGGAAGAAACTGAGGTGAAATATCAATCCCCCAGCCCTGCAATAACCCTGCAGCTAATCGCCTTAGGAATTCTTTTCTGAAAATTAGCCCATCTGGGCTTTGCAAATACCTTCTCCTCCCCCCCCCTTTTTTTTGCAACAGAACGGTGTTACAAAAACAAATTGCTTCTTTGCATAGCTATCTCGAAATAATTAGAACAAATAAAAGGAATGAGTGGGTCTTTAGTATGGATCGTGCTCTGGTGAAAGAAGGTAGAAGAAGCCTGCGTAGAGAGAGAGATCCATAAGAAATCCCCCCCCCCGTCCCCCCCATCCTTTTCACATGCCTGGTAAAGCAAAGCCTTTGTCTTATTCAGCTGACTTTAATCATAAAATGATTAACTATGACTTTAATTGCCAGGGACCGTGTGATGCTGGGAGGATACTATTTCACCAAGATGGTCCCTCATTGTTAGGGGTTTCCTTGGCAAGAGAACAATTTTTCTTATGACTGTTGTAGAATGAAACTTGAAGCATAGTTCTTTGGTAAGGGAAGAGACGTTCTTACACATATGCAAAGGAAGCTGGGTTTTTTTCCTTCCAATCCCATGGATTCCTGTTTCTATTTAAAATAATGGAGATCAGCTTGTGGATATCTTTTCACTTGACCCCCAGAAGCTCCTCTTTGGAAGCAGATGAGATTATCTGGTCCATTCATCAGTGATTTTTGTACACAGTGAATAATGTTTGTTAGTCTAGGGCACATCTTCTTCCTATCTCTAATATCAACAACTTCTACACTTCATTTTAAGAGGTCATTATAAACAGGACATGATCAGTTCATGTGGAGACGTGTAACCACTTGTTCCAAGAAAACAGCCTTCGGGCAAAGATCCTATGTAGTCTTGGAGCACTTGCCAAGCAAAAATAAACAGGCAAGCCACCACTCCCAATTTAGGACTGCACTGTACCTATCTCTTCTTGAATGTTTTACTTTCTGCTTTTAGTCCAGGCAGGACAGTAATCAGAAGCATTCATAAATCAATGTGGGTCCAAAACTGATAATGGGCCACCTATTTCCTTTTTACTGCCTTTTCTTTTTCTTATCTTAGCACAATCAATTTCATAATAGCTTGTGAAATTCTCTTTCTTTTTTTAGCCTAAAATGGGCACTGGTTTCCCTTTTATTTTCTCTGGGATTGCTTCTATGTCTCTCCGTAAAGTACAGCCAGTAGTAGTCCCCAAATGGTTCGAAATGATCTTCCTTGCTTTGTTCCCTTCTCATAGTTGATGTAGCTCCACAGTGGCCTGTCCTAATGTGTGCAGTATTAAAGAAATCGACAGTATGATAGAAAGTCACGTGTATTATGCATATTATCCCCAGTACATTGGGTGACATGGGTAGGAGGGAAAACAAAGCTGTGTGAATCCCGTTTTTTTTCTTTTTATTTATAATAAGGACAGAACAAGTTTGGTGACTTACTCTGAAAAAGTACCATTTTTCTGCAAAAAATATGCCTATTTCAATCTTCTTGTTCTTTTTAAAGCATAATTCTTAATCTGATTTATAATAGCCTTATATACTTTTGTAGCACATTCATTAGATGCTCTTCTTAATAACAAGATATATACCAAGAGTAAAAAAGAGATAACATTATTTCTCAGCATCTTGAGATGCCTTCACCTATTTAATATGTAGACTAGGTGTTGTAGTTGAGCTGTCAGTCAGTGAACTATTTAATGAGCCAGACACCACTGCGCTCATAGTTTTGATGATCTTCCATCATCTAAAGGACCCACAACCTTTTTCTTTTCCAAATTCGACTTTTAAGATTTCAGTATTTGCAAGTTGACACTAGCTGGAGCCTGGCAATCCGGCTATTTGTGCAATTGCATTTTCACAGAGTAGTACTAACCCTGTAAGTGAACTAGTTGCATTTCAGAGCCAGAGCTGAAGGAATACAATTTCAAATAATACAGTTTGATTTGTTTGCACAAGTTACAATTAGAAACTGAGCAATTAACCTAGCTATGTTAACAAATACTCAATTATAATTAGATTTATAATTTAAATGTCTTCTTATGGATTATGTAAAATGTTCCCTTAGTTTTGTTAATATTTTACTATTCATTGGGTTACAGTCATAGTATGAATGAGTAACATTTCAATAACATAACCAGTATTTTAACAAATGGAGCTATTCAGAACTTTTTAATAAATACCTAATTATATTCATACTATACCCAGAAAATAAAAGCCTTTGGAATTAACAAATTCCATTTACCATCATTCAGTTAACTAGATGATATTATTTTGCCATAAATTAAGAATTACACTCTAAATAAACTTATGCACAGCCTTTGGTCTTCAAGTTTTCTTGAAAACTTCTAGACAACATGGAGCTCAGATGGTTGTTCTTATTTAAGGTGATCAGAATGCTACAGAAGACAGCAAGTTGGCAGACTCGGCTTGCCGAGCTTGCTGTTCCTGCCCAACAGATCACAATTATCTCATCCAATAAATACTTGCCATCCCCTCAGCTTTGTGCCAAAATAAATATTATTTCCACTGTGAGGAAATTAAAAAAAAAAAAAGGAAGTACATTGCATGTCTCTTTTCTGTTTATCATGATGGCATATCTCCTTAATGGTCATTGCCATTTGGACTTCTTTTATGAATTATGCCATCTCTGCTATGGCATGACATTGGGAGATGTTAGATGGGATGAGCCAAGCACACTTTCCAATAGCTGTGCAGATTACCCCTCTGTTATGAACTTTGCTTGCAGCAAATCTTGAATATGGTGTTTGCCAAAAAATCTTATGACTGCAGCAAGAAGAAACTGGGACATAGAACAGTGGTAAATGCTCCCTGATGGCATCAACTTATTAGTAGGCATCTGAATCTAATTTCATGTTGCAGCTTCTCCTTTGGGAGAACTTTAAAACCATTCTACACTTCATGCAAAATGAAACAAGAACTATGGGCTGTGCCTAGGCAGCCCTATACAAAATGTATACACGTGTGTTGCGTGAGGAAAAACCCTTCCTTTACTATACATAAACCATGTTTTATGCTTTGGAGTATCCAACATAATCTCTCCCACATATGAGAGGGAGGGCCAGACTATGTCAGGATAGAGTTCTAATAATTATAATTACTATATATTATAATTCTGCCCAGAATTGCATATATTTATCTGTCAAATTATGTTTGTAAGGTAGCCTTGTTGTTGTTAATTGTGAAGTCGTGTCCGACCCATCACGACTGATAAATAACTGCATTCACTTAAGAACACTTTTTGGTCTCATTTCCTTCTGGATTAAAATACACACTTGTCAGGTACAATTAGCTGATTTTCTACATCTTTAACAATTAGTGGAAGCAAATGAGATTTGTTTAAGGAAATGGCGTATTTAAAAATAACAGATTCATTATAAGAAATGAACATGAGTAGGATCCAGTTCAATTTTGGGAGCAAGAGGGCAGTATTTACTAAGGGTTTTTTTTCTTGCCAAATTCTTTCCAAGTGCATATTGCCCTGCTCTGAATTCCCAGAAAGCTGTTGTCTCAATTGTCCTTTTTAAACCCTTTAACTTACCACATTTTCATTATCCCAATGAAACATTCAGTCCATATAAATTGTCTCTCTAATACTCTGCACATCTGTTCTTAGTACACAGGGAATTAGAAATGGCTCCTTCTGGCTATCCAGATGTGTTTTAAAAGGTCAATGACCCGAAGAAAGAAGCTAGGAAGATGAAGCAGTTAATAAGAAAGAAAAGAAAAAGAGATTAATTCCTCAACTTAAAAAGAGCAAACCACTTCACTTTCTCTCTCTCTCCCCCCCCCCACACTACATCAGTAAATCACTGTTTGGAACAATGGAAAATAAAAGAAATGTCTTTTCCAGCTTATTATCAATGAATTCCTTGAAAGGTTCCAAAGAAAAAGGTTTAAATTACAAGCTGGAACCTCCTGGATGCCATCTTCCCCTAAAAGCAGGACATAAATGCAAAGGAATGTTTAAAAAGAAGGATTTAAAAGAGGACAGAGCCAGCTAGTCTTCCAGCAGGGTTGCCACTGGCTCAAGCTACCAATTTAATGGATTTAGTATAATGATTGTAAAAGTATGACCAGAAATCTCATCGTATCTGAAATAGACCCAATGTGCTCTTCCAAGAAGGTGCGCTATAGGAAACAAACTTTCCTATTCAAATCTTTTAGAAGTATTTTGTGAAAGTGGAATTGTCAAATCTCTCTGGCGGATGTTTTGATTAAGGTATTTCTACCCCACTATTATTTAGCTCCTTAATAATTTTGAAATGATACATTAATTGCCCTTGTTGCAGTTATTTTAATGTGTGGAAAAGTCTGGAGAGATGACCAGCAAGCCCTGAAGCTAAAGGAGGGCACATTCCCTATTCCTCATCTTTGGCTTTATTCTCTCAGCAATTTCAGAAAAACAAAGACTGGTTACCATGAAGGTAAGAAGCAAAAGTCCACCTGCCCAGTTGACCAATGTGAGGATACCAAGTATGAGCTGTAGAGAAACAAAAAGCTAGAGGGCTGGGCAAAGGATGCATTCTCACCAAGGAGAAAATCTCTCACATTTCAAAACTTGCTTTTACAAGCCAATTTTATTAGATCTCAGCTGAGCTGAAATTAATCCCTATAAAGAAAGTAGTAAAAAAATATATAGTATCCAGAATTAAACTGGAAAGAAGGATCAGCAAGAACCTTGGATGGATCTGGATTATGCCTATGTAGAGTCATTCTGTTTCTGGATGCTGGAAGGCCCCTAGTTGTCAAAGGAACTAGGGGAGAGGAAGCAGAAGAGATACCTGGAATACTGCTGGAAGAGAAAGAATAACAAATCTGAGCATGGATAAAAGCCTTTATTAAGGATTACTCTGTGACAATAAGGGCAGCAAAATGCAATTATTTTCCCACCCTTGTCATATATGCAGATAGCTGGCTGGTGGTTCTACTTAAAATGATTTGGTACCTCCATGGTAGGGAAGGTTCAGAAGAACATTTGTAGCCTGTTATCAATATTATTTGAGATATCTATTGAATAAAGTTGTTTGGATCCAGTCTGAGTTGGACTCTGGCTGTGGAGGTTCTGGTTCAGTTACTGGGAAGAGTTCAAGATGGTTAGCCCCTTGATACTTTCTGAGCTCAGTTGTTTGTTTTCAGATATTTCATTACCCAACTAGGTAACATCTGTAGATAAACAACTCTCAGAGAGGACAAAAAATCTTCCCAATTTAACCATGAGCTACATATAGTCTCTTCTCATTCTTTTGCAATATATTCTGCACAGATCTTCCATAGATTACTAAGAGAATCATCTCTGAAGATTATTCAGAAGCTGCAACCAATCCAAACTGCAGCAGCATGGAGAATTAGGGGCATACCATTGCACCACTGGTTTCTAGTAGGTTTCCAAGTGCAATTCATGTGCTGGTTGCCACCTATAAAGCCCTTATACACAGGACAGGCTTACTTTCTCTGTCCATCCTATGAGATCTGAAAGGATGGGCATTCCTACTTAGGAATCAAGGATCGCACTGAGAATATTTGACAGTGCCAATGGAGGACAGAAACCATGATTATCTCATGAGCCCTTCACACATGCAACTGATATAAGGACTGCCACATTAAGGCAAATGGAATACAATTGGCGAAGGAGTGAACTTCATATTAGTAGCTCTTTAAGTGCACACAAAATTATTGAGCCAAGGAATTGCTTCAGATGTTTGATTCCCTTGCCTGAAGTGACACTCCCCAAATATATTACAAAATCCATATCCATATTTTCTAGTTACTGTAGTCATCCCTAAACATTTGAAAGGTGCCAAGTTGGAAAAGAGTGCATTTTACTTTTGAAGGCTGAACTCTTATCCTGGCAATCTTCTTGTAGCACAGTCCGAGATCTTTGTGCAATCTTGCTCCCTTTCCAGATTTTCTTGCAGGCAAGATCTTAGACATTTAGTATTATGTGGTTTTAATATAACCTTTCACCGATTGGTTAAAAATCTGAAAAATGAAGCAAGCAGGGTTCACCCACCTTTAACTGTGCAAAAAGGGTTTTTTACTTCAAAGATAAACCATCCTTTTCCAACTAAATACCAGATGTTAAACTGGTATAACTGCTTTTGGCAGAAGAGTAAAAGGAGCCATTAATTGTTTCCACACTGTGAAAACAGTTATTCTGGTGTTTGCAAATACAAGTTGCAGAACACCCAGGTCAATCAGAAATGGCTATAGAATTTTTTCTGGATCGTTTTGAAAGGTAAATGAATAACTTATATTATGCTGGTAAGTACCTAACACCCACCATCTTCTTAAAATAAAGCTTCTTGTCATCAGTGCACTTCCTATGAGATACTAAAGTAGGTATACTGTGGTTTTATAATTACATTTATACCAGTGTTTTCTACCACACGATTTCAGGAAGGTGAATACAATTGTTCAACGGAAAACTGTTCAAAAGGAATTACTATCTTAACTACTTAGTTGGATGGACACATTCTGCCCCCTTAATTCCGCTGCAGTACCACGTGGGGTTTATATTTGCATGACATACAATGTTAAAAAGTTTAGTTAACAAAGATGCATGTGCTTTCATTTTGTTTTCTGTTGTTTGCTGCATTTTAATCAAGGTTTGAGATTTGCTGAATTGTAGAGTTTTTCTTTAGAGCAATGTTTCCCAACTTCAGCAATTTTCAGATGTGTGGACTTCAACGCCCACAGGTGTTTGGGGTGATGTTGGCTGGAGACTTCTGAGAGCTGAAATCCACCCATCTTAAAGTTGCCTAGTTGAGAAACACTGCTCTAGAAGGAATTTTAGGTTCATTTCTTTTCATGCTGCACCAGATTTCAAATAAAATGACCAACAGGGTCATTTATTCAACTTCCCATAATATATGATAAGCTGGTATACCAAATAATTTACAAGGTCTTGCTTTCTTGGGGATTCTGGGAATGAAAGACCAAGTCACATCCTAAAAGTTCCCAGTTAGGGAAAAGTAATCCCACCATGTCAATAAATGAGCCAAATTTTAGCAACAGTAATATGCATCAATCCTTATTGATTGAAGTATTTATAACAAATTTCTTGGGTTCCTTTTGGCCAGAAAAAAACAAATATTTTCTCAGCTCAGGAGGTAAAAAGTACTATTTTTCTGCCTCCGGGAAAATACATCATAGTCTATGTCTGTTAACATATTACCGTTTCATCCTGATGGCTCAAGAGAAAAAGGGAAGTAAAGATGCAAGTTAAAGCACTGCAGTTTCCGAATGGGATGACTTAAAAGCAGATACCTTACTGGCACTCTTTAAAATCAAAACAGATGGGTGATCCTTCTTTTATTAACAGCAGCCTCTGGGCCAAGGGCAAAACAAAATCCTGTAGAGAACAGTCATTAAAAAAGAACATTAGCAAAAATTATTTCTCAACACAATATAAAACACAACAGGGGAGCCTATTACTTCATCTATAATGTATTTCCCAAGAGGCACAAACTTTGTGTTCTGCTGTAGCTTAACAAGGATATAAATCCATTAGCTGTTAAACATTTTTTTTAGACCTTAGAGTGTTGAGCATTATAAGCTAATTGACAGGATTGTTTGTGTAATCTGAATTAAATGTATATGTCTCCAGCCCCCTAACTGTATCAAGTTTGGTGGTATTTGTTACTTACATAAAATAGAAGATAATTCAATGGTAGTGGTGGCTTAGCCTTAGGACATATGTAGTGAGAACACAACATTCTGATCTCTGCTTAAGATAACCTTTATTGCCATTTTTTTACTGTGTGCACAATGGCACACATCAAAAATGAAATTTAGTTGCCTCCCCTCAAAGTGAAACACATACATGACACACACCTAAACATACTATATACAACATATGTATAGATCCACACCCCTACATATACATAGCAAATAAATATTAAATACTGTCCATCTTCAATATATAACGGAAGGAGGAAGCTTGAGAGTTCACAAGGTTAATTCTGTATGGAATGAAACTATGGCTGAATCTGGATGTTCTGCTACAGATACCACAAAGCCTCCTCCCAGAAGGTAACAAGCTTAGAAGTTTAAGGAATTCTTGGTAAGATGCTTATTTTCAATCAAGCCTATGTTTACAGGTTTTTACTTTTATCTCTACTTCATAGCAAAAATAAACTGAAGGTGCTCAAACTAGAGTGGAAATGCAAATTGAGATTTTTTCTGTTTGGATAGATGTTAGCTGCTGTAAATGATAGGATTTTAAAGAAGGTAAAAAGTTGTAAGAGATAGTAGCCTAAGAAGAGTTTAATTTTCAGGTGCTCTAATTATCTGGTGGTTGCATGTCCCAATGATATTTTTCTTGGATGTTTAGTTCTTACATGATTTCTTTGAATCAGAAATTATATTCAGGCTTCACTAAGTACCACAGAATTTTAGGGGTATCAGGTAGATGGTTATAGACATTAACATGAAAAGGACAGATTAAAAATCTGTAATGATATGCAGAATAACACAAGGCTCTTGGGGCAAAATAGTTTTTGAAGTATTTGTTACAAGAGAAAAAATTCAGCATAAAGCGAAATATGTTAGAGGCAAACTTATGAATATGTTTATGTTGTTATTTGGTATGATCTTCCACCTGGATATACCAAGCAAACAAAGTGAGCAAAGTATGTTGCTAACCTTGGATTCAGCTATGTAGTACTTTTAAAGCTGACCTGAATGTCCTTTTTTTTCCTTGGCTGTCACGATTCGTCTTCTCAGGTAGGTCCACCATCATCCAATGGTTATCTTGGGTCATTCCTTATTGCTCCCATTCAAATCAGTGGAGTGTGCTGCCAAAAAACAGTTTTCACAGCAAAATCAGCTGTTTGTCACAGAAGAAAAAGATTGCCCTGCCATTCAGCCCGCCATTTTAGGAGGACTCCTCCCAGTGTATTAATTAGCAGCAGAGAAGTATTGCATCAAAGGAGTTCCAAATAACATCTTCCAAATCACTTTGAAGCATGCCTGCTTTATATTTAATACTTTCTAAATCATGGGCAGCATGTGTAAGTACTGGCTGATGTGAAGCAACCAGTATTTTGTGAAGTGTTCTTATCCAAACATTTGAACTTCCCAAATATATCTGGTTAGTGATTCTGTTTTATATTCATTACTCGCACGAAACATTTATTTTTTAAAAAAAATTATCTCACCTTTATTGCTTTGTAAGTAACTTACGGTAGTGAACACCCTCCTAATTTCAAATGCATGGCATCATTGTAATATTTCCTTTATTTCCAGATATGCCAGCAAATAATGAAAAGACAAAATATAAGGCTTTAGCTACATTTCCAAAAGCCTTGTATACAGATGTCAGAGTCCCTTCCAAATTTACTTCTTTGTCATTTCTATTGAGATTAAAGGGAAGAATCCAGTAAATGAAATAAAATATTGCTTGTGTCCTTATCCTGCCTGTTTTCTTGTCTGAGTTCCTGAAATCACCCCAACTACTAAGTCTGCCAAATTCATATTCATGCTAAACAAACTGTCCTGATACAAAGTATGATGATAACAATAGACTAATTTGTCACCTATGGTGGCACACTTAGGAACCTCCACAAACATTCATGCAACATAAATTGCTATCAAATAATATGTAGAATAAGTTTAGCTTTTTCTCATGGCAGCTAAGACATAATATATGGGAATCTATAAGGCTTCTTCAATATTATGCCTGGAAAATTAAACTTTTTAGTAAACTGCAACCGTACAGTTTAAATGGAAGGAGGATTAGATAGTTCATCAACAAAGTCACAACTCTTACTACCTAGAAATTGTGGTGTAGTCAAGTTTATTCCAATATCACAATCTCACCACCTAGTTGGATTTATAACACTGTAGGCAAGATCCTCCAACTGTTGCTTTTTAGCTAGGTTTTATTAACCTTTTCAACGTTTTTCACTGCCTTGAATTATTTGTAAAATAAGAAAGGCAGGATATAAATATTTTCCCCCATAGTATGTCTTACTGTATTGTACTTACAAGTATTGCTGGCCCAATTGATAAAAGAAAGCTCAGGACCGTATTGGTTGGAAACATGCAGATAGACAGTGGCTAAAATGATGATCATGATGAAGTCTTACTAGCATTTCTGGGGAGCACTGTGGGAATTAAATCAGTAATATAATTAAGATGTTTAGTGCAAAGCAACTTATGTGAGAACAAATTTGTCCAAGTTCTCTCAAGTTTGGAAATTCAAGCTATGTACATAGAAAAAGATTATTTATGTTGCATGTCTATTTTTAGGAGGAAATAGCAAGGAGTTTCTTTTGGGTAGTGCATCCCCTGGCCAACAAAACCTGTTAAAATCAAAAGCGTTCCTGTGTCCAGAGTTTCTTCTTATGCATTATTCGGGAAGTAGATTTCAAAATGTGAGTGACACTCTTTATCTACTGCATTAGAAAGATTACATTTTTACGCTTTCCCAAACAATTCAAGCCCGGCAGCATCATGATTTTTATCACTTAAAAGCGGAATAAGGTAAAATGAATTAAGAGCCACCAAACCATCCTGTTTCCCTTTCTGGAACGGAAGGAGGAAGGAAAAAAATTGCATCAACTCCTGCAGCAAATTACACACACGAAAAGCCTCCTCCAGACGGGGAAATTCAAAGATCCGCCGAGGGTTAAAAAAAAAAAAAAAAAAAAAAAAAAGGTTTCAACGCATCCCTGTACGTACGCAAAGAGGAACGAGAGAGACTCAGATCTCGCGATAATCGGGAGAAACGCGGCGCCCGGGAGACCGTTGCTTGGCAACGAGACGCGGGTAGCCGGGCTTGTAGGTAGTCTCCAGCCCCGCCGCCATGGATGCTGAGACGCTGCCTTACGCGCTGGACCTCGTGGCCAGCAGCGGGATATGCTTGAGCCCAGAGAAACGGGCCGCCTTGAGGAACTCCCTGCTGCTGGTGCGCAGGGACTACCGTTTCGAGCAGGTCCGCCTCTGGGGCCGCATCCAAGGCACCCGAGGAGCGTACTATATCGCCGAGGGCCTGGGACCAGACAGGGCTGGGATCAGAAGCCGCCTCTACAGGTGGGCGGCCGCGGCTGGGAAACCCGTATGCCTGCCTACCACTAGAGCAGGGGATCTGGTGAGGAGGGTAGGCTGCCCTAGACTTCCCGCGCTTGAACAGGGTACAGGTAGTCCTTGATCTAGGACCACAACTGAGCCCAAACTTCATATTGCTAAGTGAGAAATTTGTTAAGTGAGTTTTGCCTCATTTCGTGACCTTTCTTGCCACATTTGCTAAGTGAATCACTGCAGTTGTTAAATTAGTAACGCTGTTGTTCAGTGAATCTGGCTTTCCCATTGACTTGCCTTGTCAGAAAGTCACAAAAACATCTGAATGAAAAATCACGTGCCCATTGGGGGTGCAGCAAGGGTCCTAAGTGTGAAAAATGATCATAAGTCACTGTTTTCAGTGCAGTTGTAACTTGGAATAGTTACTAAATAAACTGTTGTAAGTCTATGACTACCTGTACTGGTTTTCTGAGAGGTGGATTCCTTGATAGGAGAAGCAGGACCTGTTGAATTTCTTGCATTCTGGTTACCCAACAGGCAGAGGAGCTTTGTCAGGTGGAGAGAATGTTGCCAAGTACAGGTAACCTAGGCTTGCAACAGTTCATTTAGTGACTGTTTGAAGTTACAACAGCACTGAAAAAAGTGATTTATGATCATTTTTCACACTTATGACTGTTGCAGCATCCCCATGGTCATGTGATCAAAATTCAGATGCTTGGCTGTCTCAGATATATGAGGGTTGCAGTGTCCAAGGGTCATGTGAGAACCTTTTGCCACCTTCTGACAAGCAAATTCAATAGGGAAACCAGATTCACTTAACAAGCATGCTACTAACTTAACAATTCCAGTGATTCACTTACAAACGGTGAAGAAAGTTTGTAAAATGGGGCAAAATTCACTTAACAGATGTCCCACTTAGCAACAGAAATTTTAGGCTCAGTTGTGCTCGTAAGTCGAGGACTGTCTGTAGCTGAAAAGGAACAATAGCAATCAGTATGCTTCTGGAGCTTCTGCTGTCCTAAAGAGCTCAAAGTAGTGGACAAAAAATAACATAAAAATAAAAATATGATTAAAAAAGGAACTATTAACAACTTAGTTTTCTTTTTTAATGATGTTTACATGCAAAACCCAACTTCTCTTCAGGGACAGGATTTTCATTTGCAGTTTTTATTATTGACCCTGGAAGAATTAGGATCATTTTACAAATAATCAAACTATTTAAAAAAATCTATTAATGTGGGCTCAGTAGAACAATATAATTCACTCTGCAATGTGAAATGAAAATACAGGTTTCTCTGCCCAGGAATTGGATTCTGACAATTGCTTTAAAAAAATAAAATCCATGATCAGGGATGATTTATTTATTAAGACTAGCCAAATATGAACAAAATTGTAACAATCATAATTTGTCATCAGTTCATCTTTTAAGCAGACAAAATATAAGGGGTGTGCAAATCTTCCCAGAATGGTGTTTTGCAATGGGTGGGAATGCATACAAAGAAACACTCTGTTCGTATCTTTTTTCCCAGGTTAAATGGATGCTTTGTAAGTTACCACATGTGCATACTTGCATAATCATTTCATGTTACTTTTTTCCTTCAAAGAATTTAGTCAGGTCTAAAAGGTACTATAAGAAAGGAAGTGAGGCAGAAGATGGGGAGAGAGAGGCTTACATAATATTGAAATCTTAAGGTCTGTACAGTCAATCTTGGAACAGAAGAAAAGCTATGGGAAATGACTGATTTTCTATGATTTTCCTATATTTAAATATTCAGTACTTTATTCTTATGAAAGAACCTTTGTGGATTATAAAAAGAACAAAAATAAATAGCTGTGTTGATTTTAGTAAAATAAGATTGATTTTGTTAAGGTATTATATAAATAAAGGCAAATAAAAGCTTCATTGAATTGGTAGGGACATAGACTTGAAGGGTGTTTAACATAAAATTAATGTTTTGGTATGTTCTTTTCAGTGTTATGGTTTTGTTTTTAATGATTTTATATAATTATTGAATATGATTGAGACACACACATTAATAGATAAATCAAATGTTTATACAGGAATTTCAATATTCAGAGCACATATTTATACTAAGAAATTGTAATCCCTACAACTACCATAAGGTCTAATATAATATCCCATAATTCACTCCATCTGGCAAATGAAAAGGAGTGGGGGCTGAGAGAATGGCTACCTACTTGATTCATGGCATCATTGCAGTTGAAATTGGGATTGTTTGACTTAAAATTCAATCTGTGAGCCATTCATGCTGTTCCAAGTCGTTTCTGATGTTCTATCCTGTCTTACTCCCCACAGCAACTCTGCTTGTCAGCTGTTCCTTTGACAATTTAATGAGATTTTTGATAGACCCCATAAATATCTATAAAGAAGTTTCTGATTTGTTTTTCTTGTTTAATGATACTAAACCCATTTGATTTTTTTTTGTTGGGTGGATAGCTTGAATGGTGTGGATTGGAGCCTTCTGCCACCCCCCTCAGAAGAAATTATTGCAATGACTGCAGGATTAAAGGGACGTTTCCAAGGGGATCCGTCTTACGAGTATGAATCCTCTGAGAAAAAAGAAGAAGGTGAAAGACCATATGAAGAAGAAATTGGAGTAAGTCAAGGAGTGATGTTTTGATCTTTGTACATAATTATTTATGAATATTCTGTATCATTTGTATGTTTTTTTTAAAAAAAATATTTGTTATAATATTCTTTTCATCATGCTTATTTACTTTTGGTGCATTTCTATCTCATTCTTTGTCTAACCTGATTAGAGAATGTGGGATTCCCATTAACCTTTCAGATATTTGTCAAACATTCTTTGCCTTAAGAATGAACTACAGTATTTAAGAATGCAGTATACGTTTTACATTTATTTTGCTATAGATGAAATGTTATTTTTGAACTTGGTTTCAATGACACTGAGACAGGAATCAACATCCTGTAAATTAAACTAGTACCATAGGCTTAGGCAAAGATTTAATTTTCCATCCATTCTTTTTTCTCTTAGTGATCTTAAGGCAGGAGTACAGTGAAGTCCAATGGTCACATTAAAGCTTGGGGTGACTCCAGAGCTTTTTTTTTTAAAAAAAAAAGGAAAAAAAGGGGAAAAAATGGAGAGAAAATCCAGAGAAACTATATATAGCCGTAATAGTCTTTTGCCTATCCTCCTTCCCCACTTCCAATGTTTAAAAATATTAAATTTAAAAATGGACATTCTCTTGATCCTTTCCTTCAAATCCCAAAGGAAGAAAACTTGTCTGTAAATTAGAGGTTCTGTCCTGCTAACCATTTGTTTCTTTCCTTCCACTCTCAAAAACCAACACATGTACAAAGAAATTTTAAAAAACAGCAAATGTGTTAATTGGCTGTGGGAAGTTCAAGATATGTCTTCCATAACTGAATCCTTGGGTGCTGCTGGCCTTAAAAGAACTGATTATATAAAAATCTAGTTGACTGAGAAGATAGTTCTGTCTGCTGTTTCCTCTTTATTTTTCATATTCTTTATCTAGTTACAGATAAAGAGCAGGCATTGGTAGGCACACTCAGAATTTGGGTATTTTAGACTCTCACCCACACATTTGCCAGAAGCAATTTTGCAGAATAGCGTAACAAACAAACAAGAAAAGACTGTGTTCTCAATGATGTCCTTTTTTTAGAGGAAGAAAAAGATTTGTAGGCAGAACATGACCCCCTTTGCCCAAAATGGAAAAAAATCCTTTATTTGTATCATTTCTAAATTGTTAAAGATTTATTATAACGATAGTTGGTTTATTATCATGGTTGGCACATAGTCAGCCAGTGGTTTAGACTGGATTTCTTTTTGTCTTATTGACAATTGTTAAGTCTGAGGTTGTTGTTATTCAGATGGTTCACATGTATTGTGAGCTTCATAGTGATGAAACCACAAATAGCTATCTGCTATTTTGGCTAATTATTTGGGATAAAATTGCACAAAAATAAAATTACTAAAATAACGGGAACAAATACATTTGTTCTTGTTTTTTTCCATTGTTAGCAATTTCATGTTGATGTTTACTCCAGAATGACTAATACTAGGCAAATGGGTGTTGTCCACAAAACTTGAGAATTACGTTTCTGACTAGATGAATAGCTATTCTTACAAATAGAAGAATGGAGATCAAAATATGCAATTATTTTGTTCTGGACTGAGTAATCTCTGGCCTATGTAGGTTTCTACATGGAAATTCTACAATTCACTACTGTAGATTCTTTTTCTCTCCAGGTAGAAGATTTTCACCTCAGATTAGCAGCAGAGACAATATTTTCTTCAGAATACTCAAAAGGAGAGACTTTTGAGTGCTGAGCAGGGAAAATGAGATGCTTATTTTTGCAGCAGTAATGAAAGAATAATTCCTTATTGATTTTCTTTGCATAGGGAAAAGAGTTCTGAATATGATTGCTTTAAGAGATGGGAGACTACAAGAGGTTTTAAACTCATATTTAGCCCTACATCATTTGGCAGAGTAGAATTCGGCATTTTTCCCTTCAGCTAGATTTTCTTCCCCACCCTGAGTTATTCTTAATAGTCACAAAGCTATTAATCAGATATG